GTGCATGTGAAGAAAGATGAAAAGATCATTCCGTACACAATAGTATAGTTTATCTAGAAGAAAGTGAAGGATGTTGATAATTATAATTAGGGATATTGTTTCCTTGAAAATAAATGTGATAAAACCCACTGCAACATAGATGTACGAATGGTTCTTGACTCTTGTTTTGGTATAAAAGTTTGCTGCACTATCATATTTGAAAGATAGCTTTATTCAGCTATTGAAACAACTTTCTTTGAACTGTGAATACTACTTTATCCATTTGATTATGCAACAGTCTGTATATTAAGGGTGTGCGACCTACAGAAATCTATAACCCTTATTCATTAGAATATTAAAGTTCTGTAATGTTATAATCCTTGTCATGTAATATTCTAAAATCAAAAGATTGGATCCCTGCCTTTATTGTTCACTGCTTGTTTTGTGAAAACTTTCTAGGCTGGTCCGAAGTTGACCACATAAAATTTTATAATCCACATCATATTGTCTGTTCATTCATTGTCACTTAATGTTGTCATAATTAGTGGAGTTCAATTCAAATCATAGGACTACTAGAAAGCAAATAAAAGAATCAGATTCTCCTAAATGATCAGAGAATTAAACCGTTTGGGGAAAAGAATATAGGATTCTGATGAATAATTGAGATTTAATATGCTGTACAATTGTGGAGTATTTTGTATCTACTAGACCTACTACAAAACTTATCATAGGTCAATAAACTAGCACTTGGGGTTTTCTTTGTTCTAGAACGGATGAGCATCGGCTCGAAGCAACTGATACAAGCAAAGCATTCTGAAGTTCTGCAGGTACACCTCTTCTGATGAGTGATATGATGTAATTCAAGAANTCTTGAAAGTATGAAGCTGATGAGCATCGAGTGGAAGCGACTGATACAAGCAAAGCATTCTGAAGTTCTGCAGTTACACCTCTTCTGATGAGTGATATGATGTAATTCAAGAATAAGGCATCACATGGTAATGTGATAGGGCCATCACTTGGAAGTCCAAACTCCTCTTCAGACATGTGCAACAGTTGTCTGATTACCTCATGTTGAAGATAAGCCAAAGGAACCACAAATCGCTTCTGATCAGTTGTATAGACCACAAAATACCCTTTACCTACAATGGAAGTTGGTGGGCTACAACTTTCTGCGTTAAGGTAATTGGATTTTGGAAAAGAAATTCTCTTCCTCTGTTTGGCTGCAAAATTTTGCCATTTCCTTGCCAGCTTGATCAGTTTCTTAACACTGATCATATTGATTTCTTTGGAATATAGGAATGAAAAAAACTTGAGGATATTTTTGAAGGTTTGATTGTGCTATCTGTTTGATGATCAAAATGTGGCTCATGGGAGCAGTTTATTTATAGTTAAGGCTAGAGAATAAATTTCAATTATAAGCTGTGGTTATCAACCTTAGTTAGGTGTGCTAGGCAGAATCATGTGCTGTTGTTGAATATGGGACCTACTGCGCTGTGGATATCGCTGGTTGTCTAATTTTTCAGTTCTGCCATTTATCTCTGTAGTATAAGAACAAACACAGCCAAGCTTGAGTAGGACTAATAAAATGTAACAGACATCATGAAAGGGACCTAAGAATTGTGGTATTTGTGTTGATATGCCTATCTTGTTATCCTTCTTTGCTGAGTCTGTGCCACCATATCTTTAAGCCAAGTGGTCCAGAATTATGTCATGAGCTATATCCATTCTAGTGGCTTTTAATTTTAAGGGTGTACTGAGATAGTAATAGAGTATGCAAAACCATGTGAAGTTTCATGTGGATTGTCTCTCAATAGCTACCACTAAATTTGTCTTACTAGTAAACTTTTGGATGTGAGACTTACCATCAATTTATATAAGAACGTTGACAAAGTTCGTTAGAAGCTGAGGAACAGTTTGGTTTTTGGTCGAAGAGATGCCATGACATTATTTTACTATCAAATGTTTTCATTTTGACTTGAAAAATAAGAACTTCTGAAAGTCATTGTTTCATCCGCTTCTCTTGGTGTGAAATTTGGCAGTAGCATTTTACTGCTTCTATGACCAGAAAATATCATGGGAGTAAGAGACGCTTAAATCTTCACTTTGGTCGACAACATAATGGACCTATCAAGTCACACTTTAGGACTTCTCGCCAATTTGAAGAGTTTGAGACCTTTGAATAAAGACTAGTTCTCTCGGTGATAGATTAAGTTTGCTTAACAACTCTGCCAGTGTGAGCTTGCTTACATTGCCAGTCCCAAGCCCGAATAAAGGAGGAAGGTTGCGTTAGGTTAGCAACTAGCGTAATACTTGCCAATTCATGATGAATCCTCGTAATTACTTGCTCTTTTAGTTTTTTGGTAATGATAATGATGAGTTGAGCTTAATGAAAAGAATGAGGATTTATATTACTGACCACAACTTGTTCGAGACTGAGGCGTAGTTGTTGTTGTTGTAGATTAAGTTTGCTGAACCATGTGCTGCCTGCCTGCCTTATCATGTAGGTAGGGGACCTTCACATCAAGTATTAGACTTCTCCTACCTTCTCTAATCTTCTTTTGACGTATTAGTTATGATATCAAGTCTTCCTATGTGCAAAAGGAAAGGATCAACTGCCCTTTTCACTGTCCAGAATTTGCTATTTTTTCTTGGGCTTTAATACCTACTGCTATTGTTTATGTAATTGTTTATAAATTGAAAATGGCAAGCTAAAAATTGTTTACAATTTACTTAGAAGACAACATTAATAACAAGGAAACTAAATCATCTTGGTTGAAATTAGTCTTTTGCGGAAGCCCCTGGTGCTTACTTTTAAAATTAAGTCAATAGTCTTTTTTTGTTCCTTCTTGCTGGAAAGAATGATTTAATGAAGCTTTTGACATTACGTTCTTTGAATTGAGCTTATCAACTTACCCGGTGATTGTGAAAGCCACAAGCTATATATTCTAGGTGGAAGACTACTAGAGAGCAACGGATATGCAATCAGATTTTCCCAATTTATAAAGAATAAAACAGTTTGGATAAATTTAAGGAGTTTTCATGAACAATTAGATGTTAACATTCTGTACACTTGTTGAGTATCATGTATGCTTTACAAAACTTGTTGAAGTTAGCTCAACAAACTAGGAATTGCCGGTGACTTGGTTCTTGAAGGTATGAAGCTGATGAGCATCGACTGGAAGCGACTGATACAAGCAAAGCATTCTGAAGATCTACAGTTACACCTCTTCTGATGAGTGATATGATGTAATTCAAGAATAAGGCATCACATGGTAATGTGATAGGGCCATCACTTGGAAGTCCAAACTCCTCTTCAGACATGTGCAACAGTTGTCTGATTACCTCATGTTGAAGATAAGCCAAAGGAACCACAAATCGCTTCTGATCAGTTGTATAGACCACAAAATGCCCTTTGCCAACTATAGAAGATGATGTGCTACAGCTTTCTGCATCATTGGATCCTGGAAAAGAAATTCTCTTCCTCTGGTTGGCTGCAAACTTCTGCCATTTCCTTGCCATCTTGATGAGTTTCTTAACACTAATCATATTTGATTTCTTTGGAAGGTAGGAAAGAAAAAAAGGTAGGTTGCTTTTTAAAAGGTTTGAGTAATTGCTATCTGCTTGATGATCAAACTGGCTCATGGAAGCAGTTCATTTATAGTTGAGGCTAGAGAATGAGTTTTAATTGTAGCTAAAGTTGTCAACCTGAGTTAGGTAGGCAAGGCAGAATCATGTGCTGCTGTTGAATATGGGACCTAATGATTTGTGGATATGGCTGGTTGTCTAGTTCAGCAATTGAAGAAAAGAAGTTAATGCATTTCTTCCCTTTTTATGTGCAGAATAACAACATATGGGCTAAGCTAAAGTAGAATTTTAAAAAAATAATTGCAGACATATTGAAAGGGACTAGAAAAGAATGAGTCATATAATTGTTCTTCCTTATTGAGTTGAAGAAAATAGCAGACAAGTTCATTTAATTGGATTATGAGAATTTTGTTGTTATTCCACAAATATGACATTTTTTTCTAAGTGCTCGTCAAAGAGTTAGAAGGCAATGGCATGTGATATTTCATGTCATGTTATCTTTCTTTCTCTTGTGGTATTTCTGTTGCTATTCCTATCTGGCATTCTTTGTCACCTCACCTCTAAACCAGGTGGTCCTGGACTAAATCATCAAATTTATCCATTCTTGTGGATGTTATTTTAAGGGTGTCTTTTTCTGCTCCAAATCATAATAAGCAGTAGGGCCTAGTGTTGTTGTTCAACAAAATTTATGGTCCAAGTGATTTGACAATAACAGAGTAGGGAAAACCATGTGAAACTTCATGTGCCATTGTGTCTGACCAGTAGCCACCAATTTCTTTTAACCACTAAACATTTGGATATGAAACTTGTCATAAACTTATATATAATCAGACCCAATCATTTCAGGAAAACACAATTATCTTGACATTCAAAAAACTTTTGTGCAATACTCAAAGTTCTTGTTCTTTATTTTCCTTCATCATTTACAGTTGCATCATATTCCTTGAGACAATGGGCATCAAAGTGACTCCATTTATTCAGGCTAGTCGAATCCTAAGGAGGTCTTCAACAACTGGAGGTGTTCCGAAAGGACACTGCGCAGTATATGTAGGAGAGAGCCAGAAGAAGCGATTCGTTGTGCCAATATCATACCTGAGCCAGCCTTTATTTCAAGACTTGTTAGCTCAAGCTGAGGAAGAGTTTGGATTTGATCATCCAATGGGCGGTCTCACAATACCTTGCAAAGAGGATGTGTTCATTGACCTCACCTCTCGCTTGAGGACATTATGAGTAGGACCATGATGCAGATTCTTCTGCCCATGAAATTTTGTAAAGCAATAGTTTTAGAAATGAGAAAGATGAGAGATAGTAGAGATGTCACTTCCCCATTTAAGTGGGACTTGACAAAGAGGGAAACAATTCCTTGTTTTTTCTTATTCATTTTGTATTGTGGTAGTAGAAAACAGGGATTTTCTGCTTGTAACTGTTGAGTTAAAATGACTAACCTCCTGTCAAAAGGATATAGCCAATTTTTATATAAGCAAATTTTTCAAGTCACTTGATTAGAAGACGCGATACTTTTATATGTTCAAGTTTCCTAATTCAATAGACGGATGTGCCTGACATTTTGCATAATTGTGCTCCTGGCTCTATTGACACCAGCAATTAAGTACTACTATCGCTATTTACAGCTCTTCGACCCTCCTTTGTGTGGTTGTCTGTTAAAACTCATAAGTTTACAAGCTCCAGATGCTTTCTTTTGTGTTTTCTGTCTCAATTTCCAAATTTAGCAACTGATGACTTCTCTCAGAGAAGCAAGGGAAATGTTTGTTGCTCTAAAGAGATGAGAAATTTTGTTTCATTGACCGAATAGGCCATAGTTAAGGTGCTTCATAATTTGTCCAAACTTGAGGCTGCTTTACTCTTCAATTCCACAAAGCCTCTCGGAGTCCAAGTCTTGTAAGTCTAGATAAATGATTCTCAGTCTTTATGAATCATTGGAACTTACTAAACTACTTGTTCTTGGCAGGTGGTTTGTCTTGCAATCTGTCCTGCTATTATCACTTAGTTATATCCGAGCTATAAGGTAATTGAAGTTACACATGTAAATATCTTTACATATTTGTGAGCATGTCGCTATCACTTAAGACCTGCGCTTCGGTATTATGGCCTAAGGAAAACTTGTAGGATCCATTTGTACATTTGGATATGAATGACCTATTACCAGAAACAATAATCAAAGTGGTGGCCAATTAGGGTGGCGTAGGATTAACCACTGAGCTTTGTTATTACTTTCTAATTGGTTGTCGTAATTTGCAGCTTCCTTTCAATCTATACTGATCAAGTATGAAAGTTAACTGCAAAGGAAGTCTGGAAAAGGAACAGTTAATGATTTCACTTCATTTAAACTCCTTACAATTAATTTTTCAGGTCATTTAGACTTGTGTTGTTTTGATTTATACGTCTCTAAGTTTTCGATAGACAAAGTCAATTGCCCGCAAAAAAATAATAGTACTACTCCAAGATGAGAATGTTAAACCTCTATTCCATCTGTAATAATACAACTTTCAGTTGCCTATTTTTCATCTGCTATACAATCTGTTTTGAGCTATCATTTACAAAATATATCCGTTTCATGTCTCAATAAACAAGAATCTGTTGATTTCCACTTTCTTGGTGAAAGGAAGAAGTTGAACAGCAACATGAAGGAATTGAGAGGAGCAATGCTTTGTGAAGATCTCCAGCAGTTACACCTTTCTTGATCAGTGACATGATGTAGTCCATGAACGCCGAATCACAGGGTAATGTAATAGGGCCACCACTTGGTAGTCCAAACTCTTCCTCAGACATGCTCAAGAGTTGCCTAATGACCTCATTTTCAAGATAAGCCAAGGGAATGACAAACCGAGCTTGATCAGCTGTATATACTACAAAATGACCCTTTTCAACAATAGAGGGTGAGGATGTACTACAACTGTCTATATCACTGCCATTTCTTGGAAATGAAATCCGCTTCCTCTGCTTGACCGCGAACTTTTGCCATTTCCTTGCCATTTTGATGAGCTTCTTAGTACTGACCATTCTCTTCCTTTCCATTTTTCTTTTTCTTGAAAGTTTGGAAACAAGAAAGTAAACTAGAAATTTAGAACCTTTTGACGGCTGAATAGATAATGCTTTGACTTGATGATGAAAAATGTCCGTAGAAAAGGGGGTTATTTATACAAGAGGTTGTAGACAGGCTTTGTAGTTGGAGCTGAAGTTTTGCTACTAACAACCAAAGGCAAAGCCATGTGCTGATGTCTATTGGCTATGTTGATATGGGGCCTTAAATTTGTGGATGAAGCTAAGTTTCTTCCTTCTATTTTTTTTACTTTGATCATACTTGGTGCTTCTCACCAATGCCAATAATTTGAAACCATTAAATGAGCAATTGCAGGTTAGAAGGAAAACCATGTGCTTCTCCCTTCTTGGTCATGTAGATAGGGAACCTTTGAATTGTCATCTTCGCTATTTGTGCTATAAAAACAAATGCATTAAAGCCGAGTTTTAGAGGAGGTACTCAGTAGGAATAGATTAGGTTAATAGGAGTATGAGAAACCTGCTGTTATTCCACAAATACGGCCTAAAATTCTAAGTTCTTGTTAAGGAGTTAGAAGGCAATACCATGTGATAGTCAGTTAGTCATAAACTTCATCCACTCTTGTGGCTTTTATTTTAAGGGGGTCTTTATGTTCCTAATCTGAGAAGCAGTAGGGCCTAGTGTTGTTGTTCAACAAATTGATGGACTGAATACTTTGACAGAGTAAGCAAAACCATGTGAAACTTCATGTGATGTTGTCTATCACCAGTTGGTTATGAGACTTGCCATTAACTTATATATATATATTCGGACACAAAGGATTTGAGCAAAAACCAAGTATCCAGATTACAAAAGAAAACTTCTATTTTGTGTACAATTCTCAAATTCTTGTTCTTTTTTTTCCTTCACCATTTAGAGTTACCAAATACTTCTTGAGACAATGGGTATTAAAATGACTCCATTTATTCAGGCTAATCGAATTGGAAGGAGGTCTACAACATGTGGAGGTGTTCCAAAAGGACATTGCACAGTATATGTAGGAGAGAGCCAGAAGAGGAGATTCGTCGTGCCTATATCATACTTGAGTCAGCCATTATTTCAAGACTTGTTAGCTCAAGCTGAAGAAGAGTTTGGATTTGATCATCCAATGGGCGGTCTCACAATACCTATCAAAGAGGATGTGTTCATTGATCTCACTTCCCGCTTGAGGAGATCATGAGTAGGACCGTGGTGCAAATTCTTTTGCCTGTGAAATTTTGTAAAGAAGAGATTGTAGAGTTCATTGTACAGTTCAGAAGCATAAGAATCTTTGGAGGGAACATTTCGCATGTAAAATTTATGACTAACAGAAGTTCTAATTCTCATTAATCATTTTAGTCACTTTTACCTAGACAGCTCTTATTCTTTCAGTCTTTCTGCTGTTTTTCATTCTTATTTCTTTCTATCAAACTAGTAGCTGAAAGAAATGTGTAAACAAGCAGGAGACGCGGGGGATATATGAATCATCATTCATTATTGAGTTTGTCCTTGAAAGAATCGAGTAACACGTGTAACAACAGAAAAGAACACAGAAAAACTGCACAATTATATGACTGACTCTATGATGATTATCTTGTTATGACACAAATCTTGTCCTAAGTGAATTGCCACTCTCTGCCGCTAACTTCAGTATATCAGGTCCATGCGGCCATGCAAAATTCAGAATCACAAGGCACTAGTGATGTTGCATAATGACTAAACTCAAAGCTGTTCTGTGCTCTTGGTGATGCAAGTGAAGTGCAACAAGCCTCACACAAAAACAAAGGTGGCACCACCTCAGAATCCTCGATCCCACAGCAGCGAGTGTGCTGCCATATCTCACATATATCACATGAAACCATCCTTTCACCATATTAAGACATGCTTAAAAGTCTGAATCACATGGTAATGTAATAGGGCCGCCACTCGGTAGCCCAAACTCTTCTTCAGACATGCTTAAAAAGTTGCCTAATAACCTCATTTTCAAGATAAGCCAAGGGAATCACGAAGCGCCTTTGATCAATTGTATAGACTACAAAAATGACCTTTCTCAACCTTAAAGGAATTAGAAGATGTACTACTACAACTCTCTGTCCTCTGCTTGGCCGCGAACTTCTGCCATCTCTTAGCCATGTTGATGAGTTTCTTTGTACTGAGCTTCATCTTTTCTCAATAAGATTGGGAAACAACAAAGTAGAACTAGAAATTTAATTAAGGACCATTGAGGACTTAACTGATAATGTTTTTTTAATGATGAAAAGTTTCATGAAAGAGGGATTATTTATATAAGAGGTTGTTGACAGGCTTTGTAGCTGGAGCTGAAATTTTGCTACTAACAACAAAAGGAAAATCCATATGCTGCTCCATTCTTGGTCATGTAGATAAGAGATATTTAATTATCCCTTCTGTAAATGTGTCTTTATCGATTAATCCATTCTTGGAAATGAAATCACAATAAGAATGGATTTACTTACAAATAATTGTATGTGTGCATGCAAAATATATCAAAACTGCAACTTTAGGTCTAGTCGAGGTGGTATGATCTATCTCCAGCCGAGAGTGTATTGGATACAGCTTCTCTGCCTTTAGCAACATAAAGGAAGGAGAATGTAATTCTATTGAGAGGTGTCAAAAGGAAAACAGCATTTTTTCCTCGCTCAACTAGTGCAATTGTCAAGAAATGCAGAAGCAAGATATAAGTTTTTAACTACCAAGAATATCTCTATATAACAGCCATTCATAATAAAATGCAAGTCTTTTTCGGAACAAACTTGTTATAGTAGATGTCCTCTATAACAACACTTCACTATAACATTCAAAAAATATCGGAACAGACGCGATTATTATAAAGAGGTTTGACTGTATTCAAAATCAAGCTGTTATATGTGTGTATTTGATGTCTGCATATGTCATTTGAGTACAATAGAACAAAAGGAAGGAAACCTAAAAAGTGTTACCAAGAATTCTTCAATGGCTTCTCCAACAATGCTGAAAGATACATCTCGTTTAGCTCGGGGCCTCTATCGAGCTTTCGCCCTACAATCCACTTCACTTTATTGAAACCAACACTCTCGATAAGTGGCCCATACACTTGCTCCAACTGATCACCAACGCAGAAGAAATGGTCAAGCCAAAACAAACCGCCAGGGCGAAGCACCCTATAAATATCAAACAACAAGAAGTGCAAAAGTGTAGTAGGTATCCAGTTACTCATTACATGCATTGAGTGTACAATATCCAACGTGTTGTCGAAAAATGGAAGTCTTTGTGAAATACTAACGTACAATGGTATAACTCCTCTTGAAGCTATAAAGTTATTAAAAGGACCATTTAGGTTCATTGAAGTGGTCACAATTGTAATATTCCTTTCTCTCATTCTTATTGCAAATGTAGCCACACCACCTCCAATATCGAGTCCAATTCTTATTGTTCCTGGTTTTTTTACTGCTAACACTTCATCAATAGAGAAGTCAAGACGAGTACCAGTTATCGCTGTCCAACGCGATTTCTCTTTGCCATTTAGATCGAAACAATCTTTACAATCATCGAATCCTTTCTGATTTCTAACGCGATTGATTAGACAATCGTAGTTTTTGCAAGTATATGCACTCCAAACTACAGAGGAATCAGAGGGTGTTGTCCAAAAACTCTCAGGAATTGGATAAGGCTCAACATATTCTTGTTGAGCAGCTGCACGACATCTACGACGAGGAAGTGGCTCACAACCTTTAAGAAGCAACTTTTGTGCTAGAAGTTCATCATCAGGACAAGAACCATTGACATTATATGACATGTATGGATTAAGTAAATCGCGAAACAAAGCACATGGACTACCAACCGGAGGCATGATTTCGTAAGAGTCAAAGTTTTTGCTGAATCCTAAAGGGAGTTTTTGTGGAGATGTGAAAGTAAGGAACTCAGATGGAAGATTTTGATCAGATTGTTGTCTGTTATCAGATACTTGAACAGCTTCATATTTAGGTTCTACTTTAGACAAAACAGGTGAAGCAACATCTATTTGCTGATTTAGAGAACAAGATGTGTTAAAAGAGGTAGAAATGAACAATGTTAAGAGATTTGATGACACTAAAAGGAAGGCAAAGAACAAGTTAGAAGAAAGAAACTTGTTCTTTTTAGTGGAATCCATACTATTTTTTTCTTTGTCTGATCAATCTTGAACTCTCAAATCTAGTCTTTATATGCTTATAATAAAGTCAAAATATACTGTGAAATGCCAACCAGAGGATTTTCTATTATTTATCACTTTGATTCTTCACTAAGCTATGTTCTATCAATCTTACCCTACTAATTAAGTAACAAAACTCTAAGGTTTGCCCAAGGATATCTTGGTTATTAGTCAAAGGAGAATTGAGAATTTATGAGCAATGTGTATGATAAACTATTTTTTTTTAGTTTCCTATCCGGTGTTCGGTACTCGTACTGGATCCCCGATTAATTCAGATTTGCGCCGCGTAAAGGTTATTAAAAGGGGAAGCACTTCTTGCCAGGGCTCGAGCCGAAGATTTCTGATTAAAGGTGAAAGAATCCTAGCCAGGATTTTAATTTTATGGGTTCTGAATTTTAGAACGACAACTTCAAGTGCTAATAACTGTGATGTAAATTTAATATTTGTACGTATTTAATTTAATGAATTTTTAAACACAAATACACTATTTGAACAGAAACTACTAGGTTTGACCGAACCCGTAGTCGGACTTCTAGCTCCGCCCATAGTGAGAACTTGTGGAAGGTCACTCATGTGAAACTCAAAGAAGTTCAACGTTCATAAATTATTTTGCTTATTCTATTACCAAGAACCAACTTTTGTATTTAAGATTCCTTAGATTTGAAGCAAAAGGCAAAAATAATTGACAACTTGCAACTTCAGAATTTGAAAATAAATATTCAAGTTTGACTAATTCCAATGTTAATTTCACCATGCAGGTCTTTGGGAAGTGTGATTCAAAAGCAGCTTCCATCAATCTTACCTCTAACTAAGTAACAAAACTCTAAGGTTTGCCAAGGATATCTTGGTTATAATTATTCAAAGGAGAGTTAGGTATTTATGAGTATTGTGTATGATAATATTTTCTTTTTGGTTTTCTATGCGGTGTTCGGTATTTGTATTGAAGCCCCGACTAATTCAGATTTGCACCGCGTAAGGTCTATTAAAAGGGGGAAGCACTTCCTGCCAAATTATTTTTTATTTCTCAGAATCCAAAACCGAGATATCTGATTAAAGGTGGAAAGATCCTATCCATAGCAAGTTGTAGAGGCGGAACTAAGATATTAACTTTATGAATTCAGGATTTTAGAATGATAATTTCAAGTGTTAATATATAACTGAATTCAAAATTTAACATTTATACATATTTAATAAATTCTCCAATATAGTACATTATTTGAGCAAAAACTATTAGATTCGGTCGAACTTGTAGTCGGGCTTCTAGCTCCGCCACTGTCAAGTAGTGAGAACTTGTAGAAGGTCACTCATGTTAACTCAAAGAAGTTCAACGTTCATTAATTATGTTAGCTTATTCTATTATCAAGAACCAACTTTTCTATTTACGATTTGTTATATTTGAAGCAAGAACCAAAATATTTGGCAACTTGCAACTTCTGAATCGATATAAATATAATATTCAGGTTTGAGAAGGGGAGTTTTGACGTCACTGGTAAAGTTGTTGCCATGTGATCGGGAGGTTACGAATTTGAGGCGTGAAAACAACCTCTTGCAGAAATACATGGTAAGGTTACGTACAATAAATTCTTGTGGTCCGGTCCTTCCTCGGACCTCGCACATAACGGAAGCTTAGTGTACTGGGCTGCCTTTTATTCAAGTTTGACTAATTCCAATGTTTAATTTCACCATGCATGTCTTTGTGAAGTTTGAATCAGAAGCACCGTTTTTAGCTGCAAATTTTACGGAAGGATACACATGATAGTCTATAGTTTAATCTGCTAAAAAGTTTTTGGAATTCGCATTGATTATTCCATTTTGAACCAGATTTACTGTAGTTCTTAGTACTATGTATATACTTCAAATTTTTTTTATAACAGTCTCGTTTTTCGGACTTTTATTTGTGTCTTTATAGCGTTAGCTTATTTTCACCTATAATAATATTTGATATTTATATCTTATTTGGCTATTATAGATTAAAAAAAAAACTCAAAAACTGCTGCCATGGGGTCGAACCGTGAAAAAATAGCCTCTTGCAGAATTACAAGGTAAGGTTGCGTACGATAGGCCCTTATGGCCCGGCCCTTCCCAGATCCACGTAATGCACCGGGCTACTCTTTTTTTAAAAATAAATTTTTGTTTATACTATAAACGAAGCTGTAAATAGCTGTTAAAACTATAATTGTTTCCTCTTCTAATGCGGATAAACTTGATGAATCATATAATATGGAGAGATATTCAAAAATAGTCACATTTACAAGTTGACATTCAAAAATAGCCATATTTTCAAAAGTAATTGAAATTTAGCCACTTTTCATGTAAAGATAAATCTGAACGAAAACTGTTCAAAATCCGAAAAAATACTCCAGTATAATATACTGGAGTTCCAATATAATATACCGGTCCAGCATAATATACTGGAGATCGGAGCACCTATGCTCCAATCTCTAATATATTATACTGGAACTTTCCGCATGTTGGAGTTATAGCATAATATGCTGGAAGTTCATACACAGGTGCACCGATCTCCAGTATATTATGCTGGAACTTTCCGTGTTGCAGTAAAATAGTGGCTATTTTTCAATGACTTTGCAAACACTAACTATTTTTGAATGACTAATCTGAAAACTAGCTAGCCCGTACTATTTTTACTATAATATAAGTATTATGCAAAGGCCTATGTATGCCTGCTAGAAAAAGTAAAAAGTAAATTTAATCGTCTATTTGTATAAAAATTCTTTTGAGTTGTGGTGCTCCTTCCCCTATCTAAAATAGTCAAATATTTAGTATTTCTGATTTCATGCCTAAATCAAACCTAACTGAATCCGACTTTTAAAAGTCATTGATCGTCAATTCTTGACCATCTAATTAATAAGAAATTTTGTAGTATTATTGATACTTCTAGAGTTTTATATCAGTTTGGTTCTTTTACGAGGTACGAGTTGTAGACATACTGATAATTTGTTTCCTTATTCACTTCTTTTATTTCTTATAAACTAGTAATTGTACTCGCGCGATACGCGATTAATATTAAAAAATAATTAATTAAATTAAATTGTGATCGTGTTTGTATGGACATATCAGATCATATTAGATAGGAGTGGTAATTTGAGCCCAAACCCGTCCAACTCGCCCAGGTATTAATGAGTTGAGCTACAAATATTTTAGTTCATGGGTCTATTTGGGCTGAGCCCAAGTTAACCCATTAATTTTTATAGCTCATTCTGACCCATTAAGCAGCTCAAATACAACTCATGAAACTCACTCAAAACAAAGGGATCTCAACCCAACTTATTTAGAAATTTACTTAATTGCCTAAATTTACTTTTTCTTTTTTATATTTTTAAATTTCTGTTTTTCTTTTGTACACCACCAACCCACCTACCCGCGCGCAAACCCCCTTGAAAATTTTTTTACTTTATTTTCTGTTTATTTGTTTTTCTGC